GGCGAACACAGGCATTGAAGACCCTGTATAAATTCATTAACTTCCTGGTTTGTCGCCAGTATGGTTTCCTATCAGCTCCGGTGACATTAAACCTCGCTCAGTTCCAGAATTCTGGTGTTGTATGGTTTGATTCCTTCTACAAATCATTTTATTTAACAATGGTGGTTTTAAAATTGACTTCAGTCTATTGAATACGTATTTTCTTACACGAACTCCTGGGCCACTGTTTCTCCCCAGTATCAGCCCAAACTGATGCTTGATTTGTAACATCACTTATCCCCCTCCCCCACAGGTATCTGTCCTTCCCACCCCAGGTCACACGGGACAGGATGTCAGCGTCCAGATCAGAGGATCGTCAGCAGGCACTGTGCTCATCGCAGGGGATTTATTTGAGAGCTGGTCTGATGAGGACACCTGGAGGGATCTGAGTCTGAACCCTGCAGTTCAGGAGGTCAACCGCCAGAAGGCACTCCAGGCCKCTGATGTCATCATACCAGGACACGGACTTCCTTTCAGAGTTGTGAGGAACTAATAATACAGAGATGTGAAGGTTCTGGGAGGATTACAGTTTAATTACACTAGATAACAGTATCACCTTGAATGAGCTGGACTGTAGTTGTTCTGCCAAAAGATAAGATATTCTTCCAGAACAGCACTGATTCACACAGAGGAGTGTTCCTCACTGCTTTAACTGCACACAATAAATTTGTCAGTGTATACGTTTTTCAGCTGCCTTGTTTCTATGAGTTTTGATTTTCATATATTTGTCTGAAAAATCATTATTTTATTTATCTTGTTTTGTTGAGGGTGCAGACTACTCTTGTTAAGGCAACCAATGTCCAGCTCAGTAATGTTCAGGAGAGATTTATTTATTTTTATTATTGTATGTCCACAGATGAATATTTCAAATCTAAGGACATGCTTTTTTGATTTTTTTTTAAATACCCACAGGCACAGGAAATAACTTTTTAAAGAGTCGGGTAGTACTTTTAATTAATTTGAATCTACTTGAATTTAATTATATGTCTTATGTCTCGTTTTTAAAAGGAAGCTAACCCACTTCACTGTAATCAAATTTACCTGAGCACAAATAAAGCTGATTGGATGTTCTTTATTTTAAAAGATTTTTAACAAAACTTGCAAGCCTGTGACTCMTGCAAGGAATCTAAGAATCTGTGCAAACATTTGAAAATATTTAGGAGAGCCAGTCACAAACTATCACAGCTCAGTGAGAGACTGGCTGTACAGTCAGAAGGCTGTGGCGCTGTAATGTGTTACCACATTGCTTAGGCATGCTAAAAATAAGATTGAGTTTTTAATGACAAATGAAABGAGAAAGGTAATTACTTGTCCATGTTCAGCACAAGGGCCATGTTTTTCAATTAAAAAGTTATTTCAACTAAACAATAAAGCAATTTCAACCCCAAAAAATGATAATTTCAACCAAAAGAAAGAATGTCAACCAAACAAAAAGCTATTTAAATAAAAAAAAATCAATAAGTTTTTTCTTTGTAAAACAGAAACTTAGTTGCACTCAAAAATAAGTTTTTGACTCAGCATTAACATCCGGGGCGAGGCCTAAAGCTGGGTTCACACCGAACACGTTTTGAGCAGCAGGASCATTTGATTTACATGTGAAGTATGTGGACGTGTGTCTAGGGGCCTCACGGCGTGTCTAGCGCGGTGTGTCTTGAAGCAGTAGGTGCAGTTCGAGTGTTTTCGTACATGCGGCGCATCCAAAGCAGCTGACGCTCGAGTTCAAAAATCTGAACTTTTGCTGCTTGACGCGTCAACCAGTCAGAGAGACTCTCCTCCAGGGGTTAGTCAGAAATCAGTTGATTAAAGTTTGAAAGTGTCTGAGCAGACCCAGAAAATTCTGCTGTCTGTTAGCAACTGTTAGAAATGTCTGGGGCGACCACCGTCTACAGCTGGATCTCCATGCCACAGATGGAGAGCTTTCCCTGGTCAAAGGGCAGCGAGTCGGGTCGGTCACTTGAGCTCCATGTCCCGGGGGAGGAGAAAAACCCCCAGCAACTAGATGCATATTGTCAGTCATACAAAGGATTGATAAGTGCCTTCCAACCTACTAGGAAAGAGGAGGGACAGTCTGCACACAATGTGATAACCTCTAATAACGTCCATTACTTGAATTGACAACAACCCARTCGAAGTGGGTGCACCAGGAAATCACTTCAGTCCGCACTAATCAATAGGCAAACATCTTACAGTAGTTCGTCATTAGGCTCCGCCCCAGATGTTTATGTTCTCTGAGTTCAACCAAAATTGTAGAACATCAATCAAAGTTTGAGATTCAACCAAAGATTTCTGACATGCATAAAAAAAGGTTGTTTTGCAAAAAACTTTTTGATTGAACTAGTTTTGATTGGAATTGCTTTTTTGTTGAAATTAATTTTTTGATTGGTTGAAAGTATTTTCAAAACATTTTGTTTGATTGAAACTACTTATTTGTTTGTTTGAATAATAAGAAAACAAAATTACCTTCATATGTCTTATTTGCTCAGAGACAATAAATTCTGAATGTCTGAAATGTCTTTTAAAGCCCTGCCAAACTATACAACTTATGTCAATTGATGAACATTTCAAGTGGACAAGTGAGTTTTATACACATCAACACAACTAGTGGTTCTGTTCAAGCATTGGACTATTAATCTCTCTCTCTCTCTGTGTGTGTGTGTGTGTGTGTGTGTGTGTGTGTGTGTGTGTGTGTGTGTGTGTGT